TTACATAGAACGTAAAAAAAGTGTAGGAACCATCATGGAATGAGGTAAGCTGACAACCTCGAGTCATCGGCATAACATGATGACTACCTAAAATAGAGCCAAACAAGGCGGACAACAGCAGACAAAATGACAGATTAGCAAAGGAGGATGGGAAGGCTGCCAGCCATATGGTGTGTCATCCAAAAACAGTAACATGTGGAAGCAAATCTCTCACCACAACTTAAGACACAGTTATTGCTGTCGGTTCTTGGAATTAGCACTACGAAACACAATTCCTGCTTATGTATGGCAAATCAAATTTTCAAAATTCTTGGTATTTTAGGCTTTACCCGTTTTCGGGCTACAATACCAAAAGGAATTTAAATTTTAATGTTAGGGCAAACAACATGATGTGAGCTGATGTGGATCTGTTGCACGACACACGATTAAATGTCTTTATATTATCATAATTTTAAGCCTATGTTTTTTATGATTTTGAATTTAGAATTCACCTGAATTTGGGTCTTGGGGTCCGATTGATGCATAGAGCACCATAACAGCTGTTTTTCGGTATTATGATCTCAAACACGGGCATGAGCCTTTCTTCTAAAATTTTGAGCAAACATATTTTTTTGGCTCCAGAGTTACAAATTTAATCTGATTGTGGTTGAAAACGAAGACGCAAGCCAGCCAAAAATTGTTTTTTAGACTTTTGGTCTTGTAAATTCGTTCACGAAATTTTAAGATTGTAATTTTTTTGGTTTTATTGTTACGTAATTTGCTCATATTTAAACACAAGACTAGGGGGCTGAATACAGAAGAAACTGATGACTGATTTCACCGAGACCTTGTACACAGTTCTGGACTTCTTTTCCAAAATTTCAGCTTCCTAGCTTTCGTAATGCAAACGATCCAGTAAGGCACTTCGCTGTGGTCATTCAAGGCGAGGTGGTGATGCTCAACACACCAGCGGCATACTGAAATCGCTAAAGTCTCGTCAAGTACTTCTGTTAGGAAAAACCGTTGAACTGGTAATTCCTTCGACATGCGTGACGAGCGCTGGGATCGCTAGCAGATTGATCACGAAGCGAAGCAACACTGGTCAAAGCAACCGGAGAAGCCTTCAGCTGCACAGAAGGACCATCCTATGAATTGCAAATGACCAAACTATCAAAGTAAGCTTTCTAAACTTAAGCCGATATATTTGATCACAAACAAACACACCTTTTTTCCATTTTGTTAAAGCCATAAACACATAAAAACAAGACGCAATGGAAGTTTGTTTTTGCTAAGTGAGCGCCAAAATTAGCCGTGAGGTAGTTAATTGTAACTAAAGTAAATACAAGTAGTTGTTTCGAGATTTTATTCTGACTGGAAAACAAACTGTGATCAAACACGAGGTAGCTGCCAATTTTGAGTCTCTTTTGCTACTGTTGCATAAGAATACTGCTCTTTTAACAGTCAAAAATACATGTTAAATTTTTGTGATTTAAAGCGAATTGAAGAATCAGCAATATTTTAATAATTTCCGACAAACCGCGTTGCGAGTTTGAGTGATCGTGCACATGAGAATTCTTAAATTTCTTTAGATGTTTAGACCCTTCAGTTGCTTGTCATTGACGTTCATTTCTGGTAAGATGCACAAGAAGAATCAAGTTGGTAAATTGAATTTGGAGTAACTGGGAGGTGGGTCCGCAGCTGTGCCGTGCTAATGAAAAGCATTTATGGTGAGACAATTATTGTGGCAATATTGATGACTTCCTCATCTGTCCACTTTCTGCAACCTCAATGCTCACAGCGTCAAGGACTAAATTAAATTCAAAATTATAATCCATAAATTTTTTTGAATACTCTACGTCTTCCACTCAAAGTTTTTCATGATTTGCGAGTTGAATATTTTGTGGCGTTTGCGATATGAAACAGTAAAGATATGTAACCTTCCTCAAATGTAACTTTCTGGTACCTAGCGTAGAACGAGGAGCAATCACATGGGTTGTTCCTCTGACCCAGCATACCATGTTTAATTTAATTAGGCTTGAACAAGCATTAAAAAAGCGAGCTGCTGCTTATGATGCATTTGACTGCAATTCGAAAGGCAACATCCGGATCATCATCCATCCGTCCAGAGATGCATGCTCTCAATAGCATAATTATGTGTTTCCGATCCGCTAATCAAATTGCGCCTCATCTTGTCCCATCGAGTTAGTTACACAACCGAACCCAACAGCAAACGAACATCCCGCATGTCCGCTTCCTCATTTAATTGATTGAACATTTACCGCTTACCACTTTATTAACAAGAATGTCGAGTGCCCATCATCCTTCGCTTTACCTCCCCACCCTCCTCTCATCCTCACCCTGTTCCGCATTCCTCTCCGGCACATCCTCAGATATGTTTCACTGTATACCGCCAGCCATAATGTGTTACAGTTTTTGATATTGGAGGTTATCTGATGAAGCAAGTTTTTTACCAAAAAAAAGGGGAAAAAGTTATGCGAAAATTTAACCTTCTGATGGATCAACGCGTTTAGCTCTCCGTCCGTGCTTTGAATTATTGTGAACAAACATATTGTCCGATATTGCTAACAAAGGACCGTCAACACGCGCTGTTGTCCCTAATACCACCTGTAACATCAATTCAAGTATCATTTTTAAATTTACTGCATAATGAAGAAGCGCAGTAGAGTGAAAAGGAATGATATAAGATGGCGCAAGCCTAATATTTTCGCTACCTATTTACTGGAAATGACGCTTGACAGGCTTCTGGCTAAGCTATCAGCAACGATATACATTGACTTCTGAGTTTTTTTTTCGAGTGGCAAATCTTTAAAATATTTATATACTCCAAATTTTCATTGCTTCGTCTAGCTTTGGATGCTGTATGTGGAATTCACGCCTTGTAGAGTTTCCAGGCTAACAACAGTACGATTAGTGCCCACTTTTTTTATCACCATAAGCCACACGCCAGAATATAAGTTGAAACACTCTGTACCCCAGAACTTTTCCCGCTGAGGGTACTGGATTTCTTCTCAACAGTGATTCTGAGTGTTTCAACTTATATTCTGGCGTATATTTATATACTCCAAATTTTCATTGCTTCATCTAGCTTTGGATGCTGTATGTGGAATTCACGTCTTGTAGAGTTCCCTCTCTCTCTCATTCAGAAATGATATTCTACAAATGCGATTGATTTGGTGTCAGAATATAAGTTGAAACACTCAGAATCACTGTTGAGAAGAAATCCAGTACCCCAAGCGCGAAAAGTGATGCCAACCATGTTCTGGAACTTAAGGAGGCTAGTACTAGAATCAAGCCAACAGTTTCTAGTCCGTGATCTAATCCGCTAAAAACCATCGAAAAATTGGAGTTCGGGAAGCACCTGCATCCAGCATTTAGTCTAGACGTCGATCCCTTCAGCTTCCATTTCTTTCGAGCGCTTGAAAATGCGCTTTAAATTTGCTGTTTTGCTAGGGCTGAAGAAATGCAGAAAGCAACGCACTAGTGGCTGCATAAGCGGTCAGAACTCTTTTTTACCAGAAATTTGGGTAATTTCTTGGATCGTTGGACGAAGAGCAATGAAAAGCAGGGGGCTATACAGAAAGATAATGTAACTGTTTGACTTTTACTTTCGATTTAATAGTTATAGATAAAGAGCGTGGATAACTGTTGGCTTTCTCTCTCCCATGCATAAAACACTCAGCTGTAGAGTAAATTTTTCATTTTTACTAGCTCTCACAGTTAGAGACATTGTTGAATTTCCTCCAGATTTCCAGAAAAACTATCGTTTTTTTGCGCTTCATGAAACCGGATCTTAAAAGAACGAGCTAACTGAGCCTGTGTACACTATGAGTAAAGCAATATTCAAAATTAATATACAAGCATTGAGTTCCGGTGACAGATGTAGGAAGTGGTAGCGATGATGATCTGCATGACTGGGAGGTGGGTGAGAGGTCATCTGCGAAGAAATTTGATTGATTGTGTCGTTTTGATGTGACAATGCGCAAGCACATGCCGCTCATCCTATTCGATTCACTAAGTAAACTGGCCGTTCCCTCTTTATGCAAATTATAGCTAATAAACCACCTGTTTAGCTAGCTTACTCACTAGGCTCCGCACTCCCTTTCCTACTTCCCGGACTCTCTGCTACAGTAGTAACATGCCAACGAAATTCGGCAACACACAGTGATCTTTTTTGGAAGCTCCCTGAATCATCTTCACTAAAACTGTGCCAACCCTTCCTCGTTTCTGTGTGATTTTAATTCATAATGAGTAACAATCCCATCTTCTCTGATTCTTTCGAATGTGTGCCTTTTTGTGGGTGCGGTGACCGAAGCTGCATTACCTAGACAGCCTGTTTTCGTTTTCCACTTTTTTTTCTTCATTTTCGAGAGAGCTATTAGGCCTATCACATTCCTTGCGCTGCACACTGTTCCCTAGACAAGTATTTCAGTACCAGGCTTGATCTAGTCGCAAACAGTATCGCTCCTATGCCAACGATCAAGGCGTCACCTTAGCTAGCACAAAAACTAATCCTGCTACAACTCGTTTGTCATTCCTGTAGCCAACTTAAACCAATACTAGCTAAGCCAAAGCCGGTTTTAAGCCTGCCTTATGACGAAGCCTTGGAGAACCATGACAGTAAATGGTCGCTGGCAGCATATGCTATCACTCTGATAACTTTTCATTTCTTACAGAAATTATGAAGGGAATTTGATACCTACTCCCTGCCTATGGCTTTTTATTATTAAAATGTTGAATAAAAAATAAAACAAATTTCTTCAAACGGGTCCTCTAGAAAACGAATAAAAGCACTGCTCGATACTTTTGGATCAGCAACTGCTCGGAGCAAGAAATCGAATGCAGGCATTAAAGAATAATAGGGAGAGTTTTTCTCTGTTCAAGGCTCTAAACTCACTGTGGAGTCACTTTTTCTGAAAATTCGGAAAGCGTCCTGGTTTCGCATAAAAATGGTGGCAACTCAAAATGCATCTGCCTTCAACTCAGTTGACATAAAACTGTTATTAACTGTAATAACGTGAAAAGTTTACCTGAAACCTCCTCATGTCACGCGGGTTGCCCGCATTCTTCAAGCAGTTTTGGTTGCATTTTAGAAAGAATTTCAGAAAAAATCTGAAAACTGTGATGTTAACAATAACATGGTTGTGTTTGATTACAATTTGCATATTTCTAAAGTTTTGTTTTATCGTAGATTGCTTAATGAACGGCTTAAAACTCGCTGTGTCTTAACCTGTAGCATCGTGTTCAGATTACATCGGACACTTAGAACCTTAGATAGGGCATGATATAATTCAAAATTTTGATGGTTTAAAACCAGGCGGGATGAAAAATTATGGTTGCGTGGAGCGGCCGCATTCTACTTGCACTGGCGCAAGATTGCACTGATCCTCTGATATACGTCGTATTTTAACGATCCCAGATGTTTGCTGTATGTGAATGCATTCGGTGCTTCATATTGACGATTTGAGCTAACGTGAAATGTTTGTAAAATGAAAGTAGACAATAATATGTGCATAAAATGCATCAAAGGTACTAGCAAATAGATTCCAATTTAACTGATCAATTTTTGGTACTGTTTTGATGTGAAACATAACTATTTATTGCAAGCGGTAGAAGATCTCATGCGCTGAGAGGGACAGAACACCGGCAAACAATATCAAGAAATTGTTTGGCTGTCCACTGAGTTCCGGCTGCATTCGATTTCCCTCACTACAGCCATAAATATCCTCAACCAAGAAAGCAAAATCTAATTTAGCTCAGTGGACTGGCTTCTCCTGGTCAACGAGCACTCTCACTTTTATGTCTCAAGCCCAGTCGTAAAAGCCTGAGGATTTCATCAACATTTCCAATCTACTGCATATTCTAATCCAACAGAATTGGAAGAAAATGAGCTATATACTAAGAATGGTGCACACACTGCACACAATGCTGAGGCGAATACACCGAAATAACACAGTTCGGCTGATAGACTTGCTAGGAAAAATAACTTCATGGTAATGCGGTTAAATTTCATGTGTTAGTTTCGGATCTGTTTCATTTCATTTCCCATCTTCCCCATCCCCCCCCCCCTGCAAAAGATTAAAAACTTGGCTGGCGGGCAGTGGTTTGAAGTATGTAAATAAAAATATTTAACAGTTAGAAAAAGTTAAAATTGCCGGGAAATCGAGCAGATAAAAAAGGATACAAAAATAAGATTGAAAAGTTACAGTAATTTTAAAGCAGATAATGATGAGCAGTTAACGATGCAGGTGACTGGATAATCCGGACACAGAGTGAGCTTAATTAGCACTATGAAGCAAATTAATGATGTCTAAAATGCAAAACAAAAGCTTTACCTGTCGATAATGACCGGATCCGAGGGCGTCTCATTACGGTTACCACAACTTTTCTTTTCACAACACCGGCTATAAATTACTTTAAAATTTAAAAATGAAAGAACATGGCCTTTCTGTAAAGGACAATAAGTCCTTTTTGTAAAGAAGTTTTGAATTTTTCTTAAACGATAATAAGTATCCACTAGTCTCTCACACACCAAAATGTTTGCATGCTAATAGTCGCAGGACGCAAAATCTCTTTGGCTTGGTATTTTGAAAATGATGGAAGAGGCATACCTGCACATTACTTCATGAGTTAACAACACGCGACACATCTCCGGGTTTTTGTCTTGCCCTTCGTATGCTATCGCCTGCAAATCACGGGATGCTGCCGTACACAGTCCGAATGCAATGGATAGAATTTTTCAGACAGTATAAAAAGAAAAATTTGTTTGCTTAGATACCAGCTACAAAATATTTGCAAAAATAAAAACTTTAATTTTTGTGCTAGCAAGCTATGTAGAAAGTTTTGAATATTTTCTTCTAAAAAATTCAACTGGTTATTTTTAAAAAAAATAAATGTTCAAACTAACTGCAGCATTATTCTCCCTCTCACTCTCTCTCTCTGAATAAAATACGGCGATGTACCACTGGAACGCAAGTTAAAACGTCTTTTTTTTCTAAGACAGAACTGTCAATGGTTATCTCTATTCCAGGACAGTTTCACAAACAAAATGAAGAAAGTCTGATTTCAAAGCCTGTTAATACTAATTTAGTGTCGAAACAACTCAGTCAATTATGAATAGTCTGGCTTTACTACTAACAGTGTCCTTCACTAAACAGTAGAGTCTCAGTCCGACAGAAATTATGTAGAATAGAGGCATTATCTCTTTACACAATGTTTAGTTTTTCAGAAGAGGTTTTTGCAAAAAAGAAACACTTTGTAGTTTTTTAAAGATCCATCAGGAAATCACAATGACAAAATGAAAAAAAAAAAAACAGTAGCTTGGCTGTAGTGGAAGCAGAAAAGTAACTCAACAGCTCATAACTTCTCAAAACTATGGCTAAAATAGAATTTTGGAAATGTTCTGGTTATGGCAGTACCGAAACCCATAGGCAAAACTATTCATCTCGAACAATTCTACTGTGATCAAAATAAGATTTTCCTCTGACGGAAATAACGGTCAAGTGAGAGTTTTGAAGGGGCGCGAAATAAAAAATTATAGCTTATATTATAAAAGGGCATGCTCCTGCCAATCTTCAGGGAATGCAGATTCATTCATTGCCTATCAGTATTACTTGTTTCAAACGAACTGTCATTTTAAATAGCTATGGTGTCTCATACCAGTAAACTTGGGCAACTATGTATGTGCTCAGACTGTATGAATATGTCTACGCCAAAATTTTTTGAAATTCCCGGAAGTAAAATCTCGCTCGCCAGGCGCATTACCCATTTCCATTGTTTGTAACTCATTGCTTCTATTTGACCATCTACCCTCATCCCCCTTCCCCTTCCCCATCGCTTCTTCAATAATATTCAAAGGAAAAAATCAATTTACTTAGCCGTAACCAGTCTGAATTTTTCGCATTTGGATAAACTGTTTCAGATAGGGTCCACACAACTGGCGCGGCAAAGACGTGGTTTATCAACGAAATTTTATGCTAAGCTGTTGTGAATCATAACTGATTTCTATTTGTCTATCAACTGTTCAGTATTAGGGAGACAATGAAGAAGTTTTATTTAATTTCTTGGAAATATGCTTAGCTTTGACACTACTGTTGTTGCACTTGTTGTATGCTATTAAAAACCTGTTCAGGCGATTTATTAAAAAGAAATTTGCGCTAGCGTCTTTTTCGTGTTGTATACAGTCGCGCTGGAAAGCAGTTTGACCATGGAATATGTTATATGTCAAGAGTTGGAGAACCATGGTGGCTGAAATTGCTAGAGACGTTTGTGCGGAATCGTTATGACTACCGATACGAATTCATTCGCTGACTGCAACAAATCGAGACCTTCAAGTGCCATGCTGTTTGTTTAAAATTTGTGCATGTCCTCTCGACTACTTTGCTTATACCTACTGTTAAAATCTACTGACATTTATCAGGGACTTCAAAAGTCAGGGCTTATTTCGAGAGCACCTTTAATGCAGACTGATAATTTTGCTTACAAACTTCAGTTTTACCTATACAGCTCAAAAAAAGTTATGCAAATATTTTTTTTGGGAAGAAAACTTGCATTTCCTTTCCACTCAGTGCTTCCTCTCTATCTAATCAAAATCCATCCCCTCTTCCCTCGTTTGTTTTTTTTTTTCTTTCCTCCCCCACCTCCCTCTTGCCAAGGCAAATTGAAATTTCGCGGCTTCACATGGAATAACGCATTAAAAGCGCTAAGATAATAACATGGAAGAGATTCAAAACTAAAGAAAGCAGCGATTTTGTAAAAATGCGAAATTTTGTTATGGGCACCAAGTACGGTACTGACCAATTTGAAAAAAGTGACAGATGATTTTGAAGAAGCATTGTTGTCGATAAATATGGGAGTGTAAACAGATTCAAGCGATGCAGGGGCCGTTAACAGTTAAGGTGATGAGATGGTATGCATGGAACGCTAATTAGATTTTTTGCTGTTGCTGAGATTGAACAGGGTAAAGCGACTATAAAAATGTGAATGAGCGCTTGTCACTGGGGTCGCTGTACCACCTGTTGACATATGCATTCCCCAGTAAATTCAAATGACGCACAAAAACGACATTGCGGTTTCACAAAATACGAATATCTTTGATTTTTCAAACAATTTTTGGAGCTGCTAAAATGCTGGATTATTAGCGCAAACCTGTTTAGAGACACTGTCGATAAGGCGGACATACAAATCCTGCTCTGCACGTAGCCCTGCAAAATATCAGAATGTTTGAACTTCCTTCAATTGCATTTTTTAAGTATTCTTTTTTGAAAAAGAAAGCTGAAGGATCGAATTTATCAAAGTTCGAGCAAAAAGCAGCAAAGAAAAAATAGCGAAGTTGAAGAAATAAATAAATACGAAGTTGCGTTGACGAACCACTAGCAAAGGCGAGCCAGAGGCGATAGTGGATACCGTTCCGTGTATCCTGACCATCCACTTCACGCTCTTTTTCTACGAAATCAGCGAACTGGGTTCTTTCGATTTCAACCGGTTGTCCAGCCCGATCATACAGCGCAATTACGAAGTGAAAGAAATTACTTTTGCGCAAATTATTTGGCGGGTGCTTCTCGAAATGAGCCCGTGCTAGCTGTGCACTGAAACAAATCAGTGAATGGAGCTAAGCGTGAAATTCCTGGCAGAAAAAAATTATCTTCAGGCTTTTATCCCGATCTTCCAGGAAATTTTGGTATGTGCTCGTTAAGTGGAGTAAGAATGGAAAGAGGGTGAATACCGTACAACGTCACTGAAACAGCAAAGGGGAGCACATTTATGAACGAACATTCTAAGTTCTTTTGCTCAGTGGAACTAAAACTGGCAGCGTAGAGAAATGTGAAACGTTGAAAAGGAGGAGGCGAGGCTCGGTTTGGCTTAGAGCTGTGGTCGGTGGAGAAGAAAAGATATGCGATGAATGGTCAGCGTGGGTATTGGGGACTATCATCACGAGGAGGAAGAGCGCTGGAGAAAATGACAGGAAATACGAGTCCCGCCGGTATTGGGTTTGGTAGAAGTGAAAGGAGGGGAAGCGAAGCGAATCCCAGGTTCCCAGGCCAATCCGCTGCAAATGATCGTGCTCAAATAGCGGGCAAATCCAAAGGGGAATAATGTGGCCAAGAAATTAAAATTAGTTGTGGGGATATGTTTGTTGGCGACACGAAGGTCCCTTCACTGGGGCACTGGGACTGCCAGTGCTCCAGACACTGGCACTTATCCTTCCTTCTCCATTTCAACTTTCATGCACGCGGTGCTCACCTTACTGGCGAACTGTCTACAACTGCTGCGGCCGAAGCGGCTGCTGCCGCCGCGGGGTTCCACTGGGTGCGCAGTGCGGCTCCAAGTGGCTCCTCTTTCATTTGTCTCAGAAGGTTGGCGTCCTGGAATCCAAACATCATCACTGCGACCACTGCTGCTGCGCATCTACAGTCCTTCCACAGATAGCGTAGCTGACGTCGCCACCGTCGCCTGTTGCTTGAGAAACGTGGCAAGCCGTTTAAGCATTCAACCAGAAAAACTTCAAATTTCTTGATTCCTCGGCATTGTGAGTCCATCCATGTGCCAACGTGTTGCTGGGAAAACCACGCCTCTCGGGATCAGCCGCTTCATGAATGCAAAGAAGGAAGGAAGTGCATTTGTAAGGAGATCGGATGAGGCGCACGATGAGGCTCTTCCAGTTATGGGCAGCTTCAATGAACCACAGGGGAAATCAAAAAGCTGATAGAAAGTCAAGGGCAGGAGCCGGGCCCTTCCGATCTATTCGTTCACAGCTCAGCTATCGCACTCGGACTCCACCTTCTTCACTGGCACCGCATCAGCCCTTGCTTCTAGTCCCCTCATGGTATTCTCATACTGTAGCAGTAGCAGTTTGTTCTCCACTCTCTTCTGCCTCAAATCTTGAAGTGTAATGCATTACCTCATTTACCCTTCCGCTTGTTTACAATGGAAATTAGTGCGAACGCTTTGATCTAACACCGCAGCAATGAACGGTCGGCGAGCGCTCGTTATCAGTATGGGAGGCTCCGTTTTCAGCTTGGGGATAAAACTCATTTTGGTTGGAAATCAGTTTTGACCTCTCAACTTTACCAGTGGGTGCGTATCTAGGCTCCCGAAGAAATTCACTATCCCCACATTAGCAATTAAAGCACATTTAAATTTGGAGCTTGTATGTAGTCATCTTGTAACGGTTTTATCTATCGTTACCAGTTCATTTTAATGCCCATTAGCTAGATTTGCTAATTGTGGGTAAATTCATTTCAGTTTCCACCCACCTCCTTATATTCTGATTGCAGAGATATCTCATTCACCACTGCTTGTCTTTCTCCTGCTCGAGCTAACTCGCTGAAGTTTTTTGTTGCTGTGCAAAATTACGGCTCGTTTAGAAATTCTAATACTGAGATTTTGGTTGACGTGTTTGGTCACTTACTATCCAGATTAGTTGCGAGAATTGGATAATTGGAGTGTGAATCGCGTTCACACTTTAATTTTCAGCTCAAAGATGCGACTGGTAAATCGCAATTTCTTCTTCGACTTGTCGGTTTGCTCCCACGACAATAGAAAAAGTTGATACAAGAATGTTTGTAGCGTTACAGTCTCAAGCCAACGCCGCAAAGATTTTTAAGCAGCTAAGGAAAACTGAAAACGTGCCAGCAGGTTTTGTAATTTGTAATACAGAGACAAATGCCATGTCATTTAAACTACCAACGGCTGTACATATTTTCTTGATCACTGGAATAAAGGGAAAGTTCAATTTAAATTTACGAACGGCTGTAAAAGTTCGTCGTTTTTGTTAATGTGCCTCTGAGCTAATATTTGATCCTGCGAAACGAAATTTTAAAAAATTTATTTTTTCATGCAGAATTGCAAAAGAAGCTGTCTTCGCTGCAAACTCATCAGGAAAATTATGTTGACTTCGGCCGTCAGACTGCAAAGTCATCGATTTACATCTTCTAGAAAGTTGCTTTAAATGATTTGTTCAGAATTATTTAAATTCTTGGAATCGATTCACCTGCGATATTGTGGCGTTTTCACACTTCTTGCTAGTTTGGAAATTGGAAGTCACGTGTTACTGTATTACAGAATTTTAATAACTTTTTCGGCAATCAAGCAGAGGATATTTATGCCGAAAAAAAGTTGTGTCCTTTTTAAACCACTCCAACGAAAAATTAATTCCCGAACGGCGTACGAGGTCCTGCGTATGAAAAAACATGCGCGCATATCCTGGAACTGTGTGCAGGCTAGAGTAAAAACAAGAATGAAACTTTTCACTGCTTCCTTTGCTACTTTGTTGACTTTCAGAAAAGACTTTCGTTACATTTTTCGACAATCGGTGAGCTGGTTAAACGAAGCTGACAAAAAGACGCTCTGTCCTGAAGATTCGTGATCAGCGCCTCCACAATGATTTAGTGAAGCAGCCGCCGACACAAGTACATTGGCATCAACGGAGGTAACAGGGCATATGCTCATGCATCATAATTATAAACACTATTTTTCAAAACCCTGAATAGTCAAACCTGTTAAAAATATACAAAGCCAAAGCAAACTCCCCAGACAGCAAGTTTTTGTACGATTACAGAAAATACTGCAAGTGTTATTCGATCAGGAAGCACTAGCGGTATACATCATTTTTCAAGTGCTGGCAGACTTGCAGTGGTAGTTAGCTCTTTCTCTAAAACAGAGTCTTCTGTTCAAATTTGCCTGTAAGAAAAAATTTCAGTTTCATAGTTTGCTTCGTACCAGATTTTCAACCTTAGCTGCGTGAAAAAGTAATGCCATAGATCAGGAACAACATTAAAAGCTGATTTTGGGTAATCTAATCCACAAAACTTAACCCCAAAAAATTCTTAATCTACTGAAAAAAAGCGAATCTGAAATTAGCTTAAAATTCGACGAATTAAAGTGTATTGTTATCTGCAAATCGATTTTAAATAATTTCACACGCATTATTTCGGTGAATTAATTCTCTCCCCATCCCCAGCCCGACCCCCCTTTCTCTGTTTTACTTTCCTAGTTCCTTGTTATGCAGTAGGAACCAGAAGCCGGGCCCAAATTGATGATTCGAAAAAAAAAAAACGAGCGTTTTAGCAAAAAGCAAGTTATCATCCTATGCCATGCTGCGAACTCGAAATGCTGAACTCCAAAATTATAAAATTGATCTCGCTTCATGGCTCGCTTCACTCCAAGATTATAAAATTGGCATAAACTTAAATCCGAGTTTGCACACCAATGGAGCTACTCTAACTTGGTGGCAGCCTTCGATTCTGCTACGCCTTGTTATAAGCTGCGCTCCGGGCTTAACGTTAAGCACAGCGCCCACACACAAGAACCATCGGGACGTCATCTCACGAACGTTCGCCAGTGTGATCGGTGGTATAGCTACATTCACAAAACGGATAGCAGTAACGTCGTTCCCTGATTTTCTTCAGCTACACGTTGTTTTAAACAGGGTGCAAAAATATGCAAATTTCTCAAGCAAAAATATGCACATTTACGCAAAAATATATAATATGCAAAAATATGCAAATTTCTTTAGCGGAGAACAATTCCATGAACTAGGTAAAATACAAAGCTGAAAATTTGCAGAGATATTCTCTGTGCAAGTGCGAGCCAAAGATTTTAAATTCAGCTGTCGCACACGCTTGTGCAGCGCGTACGATCACGTCAAATTTTGCACTTGATGCTATCCTAACTCGAGAACTACCTGAAATCGCCATGTGAAAAATTGTATACCTGAGTCCCGATTTGCACTTGCGCCTCGAATTAGGGCACTTCAAAGATATTTGTAGCGAAATGGCTATTTTGTTTGTCGGATAAGATGCGAGGCTGAAACTTCGCTGGGATATTCTACTTGCATGTGTGGTCTTAATCCTGCTTGGAGGTGAAATTCTCTGCAGGCGGTTATGAGAAATACTCAACTTTACCGCAAACTCACAAGCGAGTACACTTTGCAGCCAAAGTCCGCACTCATCCTCTCCCACCATCCAGCTCACTTACATGTTTCGATTTTTATGCGTTTTTGCCTATATGCAAATTGCAAAAACGCATATTGGGACGACCCTGTCTGTGTGTCATGTATGTATGTTCTTTCATGCAAAATTTACCATGATTTGCGGTATTGAGAGCACAAGGTAGGTGTATGTGTGTGTGTATGCTTGTGTGTGCGTATGTGTGTTCGTCTGTCCGGGTATTTCAACTCGGCAACCACGTATGCGTGTGTGTGTATGTTTGTGTGTGTGTGTGTTCGTCTGTCCGGGTATTTCAACTCGGCAACCAAGCTTCTATATGCAAATTGCAAAAACGCATATTGGGACGACCCTGTCTGTGTGTGTATGTATGTATGTATGTGTATGTGTATGTGGGTGTGTATGTTTGTGTGTGTGTGTGTGTTCGTCTGTCCGGGTATTCCAACTCGGCAACCAAGCAAGTTCCAGCGCCGAGATTTATGTGTGTGTGTATGTGTGTGTGTGTTCGTCTGTCCGGGTATTTCAACTCGGCAACCAAGCAAGTTCCAGCCTCGTGTATGTGTGTGTGTGTGTGTGTTCGTCTGTCCGGGTATTTCAACTCGGCAACCAAGCAAGTTATGTTTGTGTGTGTGTGTGTTCGTCTGTCCGGGTATTTCAACTCGGCAATCAAGCAATTTCTAGCGCTACGCGTGTGTGTGTTCGTCTGTCCGGGTATCTCAACTCGGCAACCAAGCAAGTTTCAGCGCCGAGATTTTGTTATTGGATACCTCGGCCAAGTACCACCCCAGAACCGCGGTACCATCCCTCACGCACGTCTGGGCCCCCCGTACGAGGGGGTGGAAGTTTTGGCGGGAAAACTGATAACTCGGGAACGGAAAAGATAGAAAGCTGAAACTTTGGAAATATGTGCCCATGCCATGCGCGACCTTCCCATTTTAATATCATCCCCTGCGGACGCCTGGGCGCCGTGTACGGGTCCCTTAAAGAAATATGCAAATTTTTTGGCGGGAGGGCGATCTCGGGAACCACACGAGCTAAGGGCCTGAAACTTTGTAGAGATATTCCCTGTGCATGAAATGGCTAGAGATTTCAAATTCAGCTTCCAGGTATGCGTGGTACCCACGTTAGAGCGCATGAAAGTTTTAGGGGAAAAATTGCTAACTCGACAACCAAGAAAGCTGGAAGGCTGAAATTTTGCGGGAATATTCCCTGTTCAAGTACAACTTAAATATTTCAGATCTAGCCCTCAGGTATGCGTGGTACTCATGTAAGGGCGTATGAAAGTTTTAGAGGAAAAGTTACTAACTCGGATACCAGAAAAGCTGGAAGGCTGAAATTTTCACGGAGTGTTTCCGGCCCATATGCGACTTAAATTTATCAAATTCAGCCCCCAGTCATCCGTGGTTCTCACGTATGACCCCGTGAAATTT